ATATATAACTAATGAATCGAACGACCTTCAGATGGACATCCGATCCCACCAGACCACATCTCAACGAAGAAAAGGAAATAGGGCGGACAAGCCTTCCTAAGTCCTTCAATCATTATTTATATGCATCTATACAAGCATAAACATACATCTAACTACGCTTTAGTGTGTATCAAGTGGTATCATACGGGGAAGTATAAGTGTACAGTGGAACATCCGAGTTGTGAAGTATAAGTGTACAGTGGAACATCCGAGTTGTGAAGTATAAGTGTACAGTGGAACATCCAAGTCGTGAAGTATAAGTGTACAGTGGAACATCCGAGTCGTGAAGTATAAGTGTATAGGGTGGGATAATCGAATCGTGAAGTATAAGTGTACCAAGTATAAGTGTATCACGAAGCAGAGACGACAATAAGTGAAGTAAGAACGTCTATCAAGTATAAGTGAAGTAAAGTCGTTATCAAGTATAAGTGAAGAAGAATCGTATCACTAAGTAAGAGCGTGAATAAGTATAAGCATCATCAGGTCTACGCGACTACAAGTATAAGTGAAAGCGTTACCGAGTCGGAGTATAAAATAAGTATAAGTGAAGCAGCAGTATTTAACAAGTAAAAGTATACGTCTAAAAGGGAAATCTTTAATGAAAAGCCTTTATGTACAGAGAAATTCACAAATTTTATTCTTTTGTAAAATATGTTTAAAAACCTTAGAGGATCTTTCATAAACCAATTTAGAATGAATTTGGATAAATCAGTATAAGTAAAAGGTATGAAATAAGTAAAAATCATTATAGTGTCCCACTCGGTAAAACAGTGTAAAGTGGTAAAATCTTGTGCATGCGGGTTATCAATCACATGTGACAGACATGATAACTGGCATGTTTAACTTGTATTCCCCCCTATAAAACATTTAAAAACATTAAAAGGTTCATTCAGGGGTATAAACTCACCTGGTGTAAGTAGGTCCGACGAAGGTGTCGTTTGGGCGTTCGGTGTCACGCAAGGACTTGAACACACACAATGACCTATTTAACATATGATAACATATGTTTACATGTAATTAGCACATTTAATACTAATTAAATAAATATACGCGCTCACAGGAGCGGAAAACACTTTGGCTAAGTGTTTGGGTGTCCCGGGTAGCGTTTAAGGGTGTGAATGGCTAAGGAATGGAGTTTACTACCCAAGAATACCCCCTTACTACATAGTTTACGGCCCAGGGACTTCTCACCATGAGTTTACGGCCGTAAACTCATGGTGATGGGTTCTAGGGTGTTTTAAGGCTTCTACTTGTTCATTGAATTATTCTAAGCACTTTTCCTCAAAGGCATGAGTGGGTTTGAGGCTTCTAAGGGTATTTTCTATGAGTTTACGGCCAAGGAACCACTCCTAAGGGATTTTACGGCCGTAAACTCTCATCCTTAGAGTTTTGTGAAGTTTAAAGCCCCCTAATGCCTTTCTAGTGATTTCTAATGAAGTGTGATGCTATTTTGGAGGATTAAATCTATCATTTGGATGTGTTTTGGGGAGTTTACGGCCTAGACAAATGCTTGGGCCGTAAACTCCTTTTAATCCCTCCATTTCTTGTGTTTAAGCCCTTAAATCCTTCCTAGTATTTTATGTTAAATGTCTAAGGTCATTTGGGGGACAAAAACCAACATTTTGGCTTGGTTTGGGGAGTTTACGGCCTTGGTATAGACTTGGGCCGTAAACTCATTTTTATCCTTCATTTTGATGTGTTTAAGTGATCTAAACCCAAAGGAATAAGCCCTTAATTTATGTGTTAAGCCCTAGTGTGGTTTGGGAGTGTTTTGGAAGCATTTAGGCAAGGTTTTGAGGGGTTTACGGCCTAAGCATGTGCTTGGGCCGTAAACTCACTTTTATGCCCCAATTCATTGAGTTTTGACGTTTAAACACTCCTAGGCTAGATCCCTAATTAGTTTCCAAGCTTAAGGGCAAGTTTAAAGGCATGTTTGGCACCATTTTAGGGGTTTACGGCCCTAGAGTGTTCTTGGGCTGTAAACTCCTTATTCCATGCCTTCTTGGATGGTTTTTGGGCTATAAACATGAATCAATATGTTTAGGATAAGCTAGGGTAAGCGGACTTACAATTTGGAAGCGTTTGGTTGCGGTTTCGGGGCGAAAAGGGGTCTAAAGAGAGAGTATAAAGAGAGGGTGTAAAAAGTCTCCAATAGACTCCACTCACCCTTATATAGGGTTTTGAGTCAGGGCTCAGTGGGATTTTACCCGATACTGCCGTTAAACGGGGCTTTTGATCGCACCCGATCTAGTGGTCGTGATAATAAACTAATATTTTCCAAGTAAATGGAAATATGTGTTATGTATTTTTATTTGCTTTTATCACGACTTAACGACATATAAACATACACAATTGAAATGTTTATTAAACTTGACGACTTCTCATTAACGGAACTTTTGAACAGTGGAATATTCTGTTAACGGTAACGGAGAAATGTAACGGGGCAACTTGGGTTGTCACACCCTCTCAATGAGCAAACGAGTGATCTCCGTCACCGAATCCACACCAAGTCTCAACTGCAAGAACACCTGTGCTAGCCACTCGTGCTCAACCCATAGAATGTAGCGAGCGCAAAACATCTCCCTGAACTGCTCCTAAGTATCCACAGCTCTTTGATCATCTGTATACGACCCTGTCATGAACTTCCACCAGCCCTTGGCTCTGGACCTTAGCAGATTCAGACCACACCTGACCTTCTGGTAAGCAGGAGATGAGCATGTGAAGAAGCATCCCTCCACATCAGATAGCCACCTCATGGTTATGATCGGGTCCTGAATCCCATCAAAAGTTGGGGGCTTCGTGTTATCGAAGTCCCGATACTGAAAATCCCGACTGGTCCCACTAGTAGTGGTTACTACAACTATGGAGGCTGTAGCGGCAGTCGTCTCAGTAAGAGCCACATAACGCTCATCAAAATATTTCACCATAATGGTCTTGATAGACCCAAACATGTCTGACAACTGTGCCCGGAATATAGTAGCAACCTCATCATGTAGGATCTCTGGAATCCTAGCGTCCAACTCATCCAACCTCATCTGACCAACGACCTCGGGCACTGCTTGTAACACTCGCAGATTCGGACTAGTCAATTTAAAGATAATGAGCATCAAAAATGAAATTTTTGATATAAGATAATTTAGAATAAATAATCTTGACCAAGTTATAGTATATGTCACAAGGGTTATGTACATATAAAAAACGCTGAAATCCGAGTTATAACAAAAAAGTTATGACTCATCGAAGTTTTACGGCCAAACTGGCACGACACCGGGAATCGTAAAAAATGAATTTACGATAAAATACTTTTTAGCCTTATCGATCTAAACGAAATTCATAGTATATATTAAACCGAGAGTGTGCATAAAAATAACGTCCAAATCTGACTTCGTATGAGCAAGTTATGATTTTTCTAAGATTTAGCATAACAGTGCACAACCCGAAATTTGAATTTTAGATTGGTCGATTTTAGCCAAAATAATCTAAACGATAAATGAAGATATCGTTAATAGGAGTTAAATGATAAAAAGACAGTCAAAAACAGAGCTTGTATGTGAAAGATATGGACGAAACTTAGTCCCTACTCTTCGAACGCGATAAATTTGATACAGTTTTGTAAATCGAAGATAGAATGAAAATTAGCCGACGAGGTCTAAATGAAAGTTGTAGTACTCGTAAATACCAACGCGTGGATATAAAGAACGTAGAAAACAGAGCTCGTATGCGGAGATACGGACGAAGCTTAGGGGCTACTCTACGATAAAATCCCTATAAATAAAGGATGAATCATTCGTAATTTCTTCACACCATAACCTTTCTTTCTCTTTATAACTTCTCTCTAACCACCTTAAACCCCTCCCAAGTCTGGGGAACATCCCTAACACGAGAAGGAAGCCCCGGAGCGCTCGATAACTTCGAGAAGAAAAGCTTTCGGCTCGGAAACGTTGCTCCAGCGAAGCACGATTTTTTTTAATAAAAACCCACCGTAAATGAGCTACGCCTACGCTATTTTTAATATAGCTTCTAATTAATTATAGTAACATTATTAGGACCTTAAAATAATTATTTGGGCTATTATTATGAGTTATATAAGAGTGTTGTTTAACACTTATATAATAGTAATAATAGCTAGACTATTAATTAGTCGCGGTTAACGTTAGATTAAACCTTAGAGGTATTGATACTAGGTTTTGTCGAAGGAAATTGTTTTAAGAGTAACAAAACGTTGTCTGAGTTCGAAATCACCACCTTACCAAGTGAGTGCATAGTTACTTTCATCTTACACATAGATATGAAGTATATATTTTATATAAATTACGTGTTATTTGTGTATACTGTCTGAATACTTGCTGTCTATGTTGGATGAAACGTTTTATACATGTTCTTAAATGATTTAAAATGTATATGTATTTTATATCTACAAAATGTGTTGGGTAAAACATAGGTAGATTAGAGGTGAGATAAATGAGCGATGAAAGATGAGATAAATGTTGAGTGATGAAAGATGATATGAATGATGAGCGATGATATATGAGTGATAAAATATCGTGCAAAGTGATGAACTAGGTGATGAACCAAAAAGATGAGCCAAAACGATGAGCCAAACGATGACCCAAGCGATGGCCCCGTCATCTAGCAGAGTATGGATGACAACCATGGACTATTCTAGACAGCCTAGTGGAACACTAGCAGGCTCGCAACCTGTAGGTGTTGTAAACGATGTGTTCACCCGGTGTACTCTAAAAAAACCCATTGACAGGTATTGCGAGTGGACTCTCGAAAATGATACTGTCAATAAACGAGATAAACCATGGCGACTATGCAGACCTAGTGTCGATTCCTTAGCATACAACCATTCATGTTAAGCATACAAACCAAAACAAAGTACATTACAAGTTGTTCATAATTTAACCCAAATGACCATTACAACTTGTACATAATTAAACACACAAAAAAAACCCTAACTACATATTAGGTACACCTTCAACTTAAAGACCTCATATTGAAGCTTTTTGTGCGACCTAAACAACCCAATTATGATCACACCTTCATTGTTGCACTAAATTTCATCAACCCAAGCTATAACACTTGAACAAGCATCCTGATTCCAATTATTTTCTTGAATTAGTACATGTTATGAAACTAGGGTTAACATCCAAATAAACAAAAGGTAAATTACCTTTTTGGGACATGCATAAAAGGGCCTTCCTGGGTTATTGTTAGTACGTGATGTTCGTATTATAGCCATACTTCCACATCCACATCCCATGTTCTTAATTATGTAGCTTCACAGTTAGAGTATTTGAAGGAGAAAACAATGTGCGAAAATGAAACAAGTAGGTATAGAAGAAACTTTTAACTGATTGCTAGTACGTGGAAAAGACAAAATTACCCTCACTGTGCAAGGCACGTTGGTTCACTAACATCCTCACTTTTTCCTTCTTCCCACTTCTAATGCACTTTCAACGAAATTTTTTCTAGATAAAAAATTTGAAAATAGGATCATACGCAATGAACAAATAACATGAAACTTAGAAAACGCATGCCATGAAGACAAGTCTTTCATTCATCATTGGAGTTCACTTACAAAATGTTTGTCATATGGACAGGTCTTTTCCATATATCGCCAAAAAAACATATATAATTTTTTTTAAAAAAAAATCTACATACTAATATGCTTTGTAACCACCATTTCTTCAAATCCACCCATCGCCGAAGCTTAACAATGAAATTGAGCACAACCACCAGCAACACTAGCATCCCCACCATCATGCCACTCATCGCAACACAAACAACTTTAAACTTTTGATCATGGTCATCCAGCTTGTGCTGTAGATTGATGTAGTCGATCCTGCACACGATATAGTCTTGTCTGAGCTGGTCCTTCAACCGTTGCATTTCTGATTGGTTATTTGCAATCTTCTGACCACATTCACAGAAGATTGAATGAAGCACATTATACTTGATGTCTTCACCAGAATTTAAAAAGTCAGGTGAAGGTGGTAGAACCGACATTATTGCTTTTTAAGGGTTCTTGTTGATGAGTGTTTAGCCGAAAATGGTAAACAAGTTTTAGGGTTGTTTTACATCAAACACCACATGGGTGTGTCCTCATTTAATACGCAGACCTAATCCATCGATTCAATCGACTGTAAGGGTTGGTGGGATGTTGGTAGAAATTAAATGTGATAATTAATCTATGCATGCGTGTCATTGAGTCAACTCAGTATTGACTCAACGGGTTCAATCACCTGCTTACTTGACAAATGACTAGGAAGGAAAACCTACTAAAATGGGTAAAATGGTTTTTCCAATCTGCAAAACAGAAGCACATGCCCTTAAAATGCAAAAAAAAATAATCAATATGGATCATTTAAACCATTGCACGTAAATTTGTTGTTCTATAGTAACAACAACCCTAAAAAAAATATAATTAGATTCTTCATCTTTTTACTTCATTGGTAATTCATGTATCCATATGCTTTGAGGTTTTCATTACACAACTCTTTTTAAGTATTTTAACAGGAATATTTTCATTATAACGTATTTATCCAACCAAAATTTTCTTTTAATAAAAAAGGGAGCGTATTTATTAAGTCCAATATAACATAAAAACTATTATATAATCGAACCCTAAATATTCCTTTTCGTTAAAATGTCAAATACTCGTGAATCACATGGTTCACATACGAAACGATGATTATAATATCATCATTTTCTTTTTTATTTATCTTAACGAACAATGTCTGTTGTTTATATATTTATAATTCTATAAAATTATATAAACTATCCCTATACTTTATAAAAAGTTACATGTTTCGTCCGTAACACTTTTTTAATAAGGATAAAACTTATTGTTTTAGTTTCTTGGGTAAATGGATCATGTAGTTTATTTAATTACAATTTTGATTTAAAATTACTATTATACCTTTATTTTGTTTTATTGTGCGTTTTTTGTTTATATTAATATTTATTATATAAATAATCTAACTTAATCATAACCTTCCACCCACATTCTTCCTCATGTTAGCTTATCCATTCCCACTACTCATGTAATTCAGGAAGATTAACATTTGGTTGCGTTCATGCTTCCTCCGACACACCATTCCAACCTTCATTTTCTTCCTAGATGACACATCCTTAATCAATTATCGACTCCTGCTTCATTCCTTAACTTTTCTTTATACGATATGCTACATTTAATGACGAGGGGCTTGTCTTAATCTTAAAAAACTTAGACTGCACCCTCTTCTTAGTTTCCGATCAAGTTTGGCAGCGACGACGTACCTCATTACTCACCTACTATCAATATTATATGATTCAAAAATAACATGATCCAAAAATATTATAATACAAAATAATTTGATTTAAAATTTTATGATCCAAAAATAAATTGATTCAAAAATAGTATAAATGAAAAATATCATGATACCTGATATTTTTATTATTTAAAACTTTTACAATTGTTTAAACATTAAAACTTTGAACCGACATTAAGTTCAAAAACATCATATATATATATATATATATATATATATATATATATATATATATATATATATATATATATATATATATATATATATATATATATATAAAGAAAAATTAAAAAATTAAAAAAACTATCTTCAAATATGTAGTAAAGTCATCAAAATATTAAAAAAAATAATAAAAAAAATAATAAAATAAAAGAGAAAAAAGCAATATATATATATATATATATATATATATTTTGCTGATGCATGCATTCGTACTACCTCTACATTCCATATGATTGCGGACATGTAATTTTTCAACTACGGACGAATGGTTCGTATGTTATCAAAAAAAATTTAGTTCGCATAATATATAAATATATATATATATATATATATATATATATATATATATATATATATATATATATATATATATATACTCACTTAAATAATAATTTATAAAAGTCATTTACATTCATCTAATCATAGGAGTGCAGCAAACAATTGAGAATTAATGGTACATATTAAATAAATGATATATACTCTAATTTAATATATGATTGAAATGTAATAATAAAATATTGATTTATTTAATTTTGTTTTATTTCAAGTATAATTTGAATATTAGATATTTATTTATTTATTTAGATGCGTAAGAAAATTGTGTTGCTTAACGTGTAATCGTAGCCTCGTAATGACGTAATGTGTCTGACTGTCAATAACTTGGTTTCAAAAGCCATCTTCAGTATTCACGCCTCCTACGACTAGATGAATGTAAACGACTTTTATAAATTATTATTTAAGTGAGTATATATATATATATATATATATATATATATATATATATATATATATATATATATATATATATATATATATATATATATATATATATATATATATATATATACAGACAGAGAGTGAGAAGCTTTTGTTAGAAAGTCAAGATCCCCATCGATCGCCGGCAGGAAAATGAACAGCCGGGTTGAAGAAACGGTGGTGATCATCGTCGGTGCTGGTCCATCCGGCCTCGCCACTGCCGCTTGCCTGTACCAACTCTCAATTCCATACAGAATCCTTGAAAGGGAAGACTGTATTGCTTCATTATTCAACAAGAAGTCATACCATCGGCTTCACCTCCATTTAGCCAAAAAGTTCTGTCAGCTTCCTCACTTCCCTTTTCCTGAAACTTTTCCGACTTATGTCTCCAGAGCCGATTTCTTGAAATACTTGGACGATTACGCATCTCATTTCAATATTAAGCCTATCTTCGGGAACCTCGTGCAGTTTGCGAAGTACGACGAAGATAGAAAGAGATGGAATGTGGAGGCGAAGAGAATTGGTGGTCAGAATGCGGAGGAAGAGGTACAATGTTATGAGGGGAGGTTTTTGGTTGTGGCTACCGGAGAAACCAGCGATGTTTTTATACCGGAGGTGGAAGGGTTGAGTGAGTTTAAAGGTGAAGTTATTCATTCAACGGAATATAAATCCGGCGATGTATACGAAAAAAAGAAGGTTTTGGTAGTCGGAGCTGGAAATTCCGGCATGGAAATTGCACTTGATCTAGCTAACCATGGTGCAAAAACCTCCATTGTTGTCCGAAGTCCGGTAATTATAAGCTTTTATTTATATTTACTGATTTTGTGAGGTAAAAAGCGTGTTTTAGTTTGAACATTTTTGCAGAGTTTTCGTTTTTCGTTGCAAATACAGAGCGTTGACTTTTTTTTTGTTTAGTAATAGTCAAATCCGATTAAATAACATAACAACTTGATAATAATGGTAATAATAATATATTTAGCTCAAGTTGACTTTTTCAGTTGGTTGTCCAATTGAATTTGTATATTATTACGGTTATCATCCAACTTTTATTAAACGGATTTACGAGATTATAAGCATAAAATACAATATTCCTCTAGCAACTTACATCCAACCTGACCGTTTAATTTTTAGTTAATTTTATTATTTTATGTATTTAACATGTTGAAATAATTAAAATCAACTCGTTTTAGGTCAATGGTCCAAATTTATCACCTTTACCGGTATTAATATTCTATCCTCCTATAAATATTGTTATTTGATACTATGACATAATTTTCACACGTCATGGTTCAAGTTAATACCCGTTACATGTATTTTAGCTGTCACAATTTTTACTATAATATACATGCAATTTTATATTTGTATTTGGTGCATCAATTTATATTTTTATGTACAATAATGGTTTTTATATTGTACGTATATGTTGGTGGTGTAGATTCATATCGTATCAAGATGGTCAGTAAATCTTGGATTGATGTTATTGAAGTTCATACCGCTATATTTGGTGGATTCGTTGTTGGTATTGCTGAGTAAGTTAACGTATGGAGATCTAACAAAATACGGGATCCAAAGGCCGAAAGAAGGTCCTTTTTTTCTCAAAGTAAGAGATGGTAAATACCCTGTCATCAATGTTGGTACCTTCAAAAAGATAAAGTCTCGTGAGATACAGGTATGTATATATGTATATGTATGGTTTCTTAATTTTCATAATTAACAAGTTATATTATATACTTATGTATGTGGTTGTTACAACATGCATGATTGATTGAGAGTGATTCAAACAGGTATTGCCTGCTTTAAAAAGCATAAAAGGTGGAGGAAATGAGGTTGTTTTTGAGAATGGGAAATGCCATCAATTTGATGTAATTTTGTTTGCTACTGGGTTTAAAAGATCAACCCATTTATGGCTTCAGGTAAATGGTTTTCCAATTTCATATCCCAACAAAAGACCACTCACTTGTTACTAGTCACTTGTCATTTTCATATTTATAGCTTTATCATAAGTTCACAACATTACAATTTTGTTAGGTTTATTTATCTTTAATTCAGTAAATTAACATAAATAATCAAATGGTGACAAAAATACTAAGGCCATAACAATTTGTTATAAAAAAAATGTGAATCATCTTAATCATGTCTTTATTGCTGTTGATATTTTTATGAAGTTTGACTAAACTTTAGTTAAAAGTCGTATATTTAGTACAGTTATAAAGTTATAACGATTTTAATTAAAAGTCATATATTTAATGGTTAAATGTAAGAAACATCATGTAATTCTTTTTTTTTTTTTTTTTTTTGTAGCATTTTTTATTACAAAATTATACTTTTTTTTCATGATAAGGGATTTGGTTTAGAAAACTCTACACAATTATGACTTTGTATTTTAAGTTGTTTAACTATAGTAGTGAAAATGGCTATATTTTTTGTAATATTGCTATAATTGAATAAAATTTTCAAACTATAAATTTCTAATCGGAAAAGTAAAAATAAGATAGTATAACAAATTAATAAATAAGATCTTTTGATTTTGAAAAATGCAGGGATATGATTGTCTTTTAAAGAAAGATGGACTACCAAAACTAATATTTCCAAACCATTGGAAAGGAGAGAATGGCCTTTATTGTGTTGGGCTTGCAAGACGAGGCCTATATGGAGCTGCCATGGATGCTCAAAATATAGCTGATCACATTTTTAATCTAATCTCAAACTAAAATCACTATCTTTGATTGAAAAATAAATATATTTGATAGCTGGTTTTGTTTTATTACTGTTTAGTAACACTTGTGTTTGTGTTTGTGTTTGTTTTATCTTAATTAAAATACAATTATGCATGCTGCATTTGTCTATATAAAACTCAATGATTTTGTTTTTTGATTTGACAATGTCACATATTTATCATGTCTTTTTCTTTTTATATTTGGTTAGCCAGGGACTAGAAGTGTTATAAAATACTGAAATATTTTTTTTAGATTGTTACATCCAACTGATAATAAAACTTAGTTATCATCGTACAATGAATGAGAAAGCAAACGGACAACAATGTTATTTCTAGTAGAATACTACGGATCATACATAGCAATATTATATTTCCTAGATATATAAATGTATTCTTCAGGAGAATTAGTTTTACCATATAAAAATATTAAGCGGCGGATTATATATCTTTTATATTAGAAATAACATTTTGACATTTGTTTGATAATAGGGGTTTGAAGTTACTGTGTTGCTGCAGAAATTTAATCAGTAAATTTTGTGATATAAATGAAGTGTAACTATATGCAATTCAATCAAATAGTAAGCTAACAAAATATACCCGGTGTACCTTTAATTTTCTTTGTATATAATAGAAAAATATAATTTAACTTAATTTTATTATGACGTTATATTTTAGTGTTTTTATCAAGTAACGTCTTTGAAAAAATTACAAAATTATAGTAATATTAGGCGAACGTCTGTGCCTCGCGCAAGAATAAAATTACTAGTTAAAATATAAAAAGATTATATGATATTCAAAATAACGTATTAGCGTTTGGTTCGTAGGTTGTTGTATGATTTAAAAGACAATTAAATTTAATTATTGAGGTTGAAAATTGAATTCAAAATATATATTGTTAAAAATTAACTAATTGCCATTAAATATGAAATAATAATGCTTTTACAGTATAATTTTGTTATTTATTTATTTTTTTTAAACGGCAAATTTATAAAACTTCTCATGTTCCCAGCCAACAAGAAGCTAGAGGAGACGAAAAACATAGTACAAGGAGAAACAAAACATCACATGGAACAAAAGGGAGAGTGCATCCAATCCTCCCACTTACGACTACCCATTTCACCCATGTGTTTAAGCCAAAACAAAATACTAATGATTTTACATTATCCCTTATTTTAGTTGTATGTGTGAATACATGTTGAAATTGCCTCTCATTCCTATGCTTCCATAGGATCGATAACAGCCCGTAACAGATTAGAGCGAACCTCTTATTAATTTTTGGACTGTATCCTCGAGATGCAGCAAAGTTTAGGAGGTCATCCAAGCTTTGAAACATCGTTTGCTACTGTATTCCCCACTAATTAAGAATTGAATATGTAATCATACGTGCAAATGAGCATCCAACTAAGATATGGTCAACATAGTCAACCCCATCAATACACCTGTTACATGAAATTATGTCAATCTCAACACCCCTCGATCTCAAGGTAATGGCAGATGGGATCTTTTTCTGGACTGCTTTCCATATAAAACATAGAACTTTCACTGGGATTTGTTTTATCCACTATAGTTGTACAATTTTAGGGGAGATAGGGGTATAAGGGTCAATTACCTTTCGCAGTGCACTAACCATGAAGCATCCATCTGGTTGTAGGATGCATTACCATTTATCCAGACCCGATGCAAGAGTGATATTGTCTACATCTTGTTCAATTGCTAAAATATCATGTTCAACATTATTAGCATTAGGACATGATGCCCAATCCCAGACCTAATCTCCTTCAAAAGCACGATCAACTACAATACACCTTTTTCTAGACTCAATATCATATAAAGCCATATATTTTTCTTTTAGTGGACTCGTCGAGCCAGCTCCTGCACTCGCCGAGTTGGTGCTTCAGAATGCAGTTTTTTGATTTTCTTTTTTTGGCCAGAATTGGACTAGGATCATTACCCTAAGTTGTTTTTAAACTTATAAACCTGTTTTTGATGTGGTAATGATCATGCTTATCAAATTTAAAAGATAATTGTCAAAGTTTCATGTTTTGTATTAGTTTATATGGTTAGGCTAATTACATGAAATTTGTTTGATTTGAATTGTCATGTTCTTATGAGTTTAATTTATATCATAGACAAAATGTTTGATTTATTGTTAGAATTTTGATCTAAATGATTTTGATGAATTCCATAACTTGTCCTCAAGTTTATGGAAAATGAAAAGTTTTCTTTTAAATAAATCATTAAAGTCATAGGTTATGAACTTGAAGAGTCTATTTCACATAAATGGTTTTTTATGAACTCCATAACTTGTCCTCAAGTTATGGAATGTCAAGAGTCTTTTCATAAAATCTTTATATTATAAAACTTACCCTCAAGTTTTGAAATTTGTAAATGTAAAAGTCTAACTTTTGAAACATTTAGTTCCAAACACTAGAATTTTAAAAGTTTAAAATCCAATCCTTATACTATTATAATATTATAGGTTTAATATTTTTATATATATGTCTCAGAAAAAAGTCAGTCTTACCATTAGTAGGCTTCATTCACGAAGTCGGTCTATAAGGGGGGTATAAGGTTACTGCCTATAAAATGACAGTTTAATGAGTGTCCACTCTTAGCCACCGCTTCCTTGACTGGTGGAGGGTCGTTAGCCGAATGGGTAGGATAGGAATTCTATTCTCCCTTCATTAAAAGTATAATGATAAATATAAAGTAACTAAACACTTATAAATTCTCAACCTTAGTTACTTTAGGAATGAATATGGTGCTAACCCATGAAATTGCACTTTGCACCTTGTTAAGTCGTTAGTGGAGCGTGTGTGGTTAACCGGTACACTAATCTGGACTGACAGTGTGTGGAAAAGGGTAGCTTTATGTTAATCATAAATCAATGGAGCGTATGTGTTTAACCGACACATTGATTAGGTGGTTGTAACATTGGGTGTACCAAGCTAATTTGCATGGTTATTCACACCTTGTTTGTGATCCTTAGCATCCCAGTCACAAACTTGAAGGGCACACTCGAGATTTAAACATGCCATTGAATTGTTCAATGAATCTCAAAGGATCTAGGAGTTTCAATTCACTTAAAACCTAAAAAAATCTTTTTCTTTTTTCGTGGTGGAAATTTGTAAATCATCATTTACCTACCTTCAAATATTTTGCAGTTTGGTTTATGGCATCCCTCTTCTAAATTGTATAGTATTGTGTTGGGTCCTAGCCTTAATATTTCATTTGGGTGTTATATTAATGACTAAATTAATTAACTTGAGTTTCTCCCATTGTAGATGTCTAGTTCAGACAACTGTGGTCTTCCCAAATCCTTTGGAACAAGCTTTCCTCTTGAAGATGATGTTCCACGGTTGGATTGTGGAAGTCATACTTCACTTCCTCTACCTTCGCCAATAATTCTCCCTAACCTACAAGTTCAAAGACTTGAAAAATTCAAGGTCACTCAAGCCCTACTTGCAATGAAACATTAAGATGGAAGGTCTGTGTGTACTCATGTCTTGGAGATGAAGTCACATATTGACAGGCCGTGAGCATTGTGTGTCGTTGTCTCGAGGAAGTTGGTGGTTGACTGGGTTCTTCAATCACTTCTTGAGTCATATAGTGAGTTCATTAAGGACTAATATGTGATAGACCACGACAAGGCCCTTATTGATCTTACATATTTGCTTGTTGTTGCTGAATCAACAATGATTTGGTGCACTGGAAAAGCAAATTTGATTGAAAGATCACCTACCCAAACTTCCATGGACATTGACAATGGAAACATTGGAAGTCCAGAAAAAACTTTTATTTCCAAAGAGTCTATATGTTTTCTATTGCCAAGAGAAGGGGCATTGGTTGCAAAGCTGCCCTGACTACCTGAAAGATCTGAGAAAAGGTATAATCGAAAAGTTTGACTCTTGATATGTAATTATTTAGCTATATATTTAGTATAGATTTTTATTATTTATTGCCTAAATATTTGAAATTTATCGACAAAAGGTACTTAATTGTGTTTAACTTATATTTCAGTCCAAAAGATACGCTCGGAAACGAAAGGAAGCAAGAGATGCAATCGGAAGTTCGGAAGTTCGGCGAGTCGACGCCTGACTCGGTGAGTCGGATAGAAGGTACACGAAGCTATAGAAATCCTTGCTGTAGACGGGATTCTAATGAGGGACTCGACGAGTCGGTACCTAGACTCGACGAGTCAACTCTGTTTCCAGAAAATTATAAATAGGGACCTTAAGACCGAAACCAGAGGCTATTGGAGAATCCTAGGAGGCTAAGCTGCGATTGAGGTACTGCTGGAACCATAGAAACTCGAAGATCAATTCTAAGCATTCGAATTTGGGAGGATTAAAGTCAATTCAAGTGTATTCTTACTTAAACCTTTGATTGAATCATGTTTAGACTAATTAACTTCATTTTTGAGTTTGTTTTTACTGCAATTATGAACTAAAATGTTTGTCTTCTGTTTAGGGTGGATGATTTTGTGAATATGGATTGATTTTATGGTTTGGATTGATTTAATTTGGTGATATTGTTTTGTTATATGCCTGAGAATAGTGAATGTGAAACTATGATTAATTAGAAAATAGGTAAATTAATGTGTGAGCTTGTGTGATAAACCATCAACAAGAGGTTAAGTGAATTATTAATTTAACTAACCATTACAAGTCTTACTTAACCCGAATTAATAAACTAGGAAATTCATTAATTTAGACAACTGGCCATTTCTTAAATTAATCTGTTTTCTAAGGATTAGTAATAGCAAACGTGAACCTAATCACCTTAATCGGTAGCCAATGAAAAGTTAATCCGATACATTTACCATAAAATCAACCATAGGATCAAATGATTCGAACCTAAATAGAAGTCCTCTTTATCATTGAATTTAGTTGCATTTTAATTGTTTAGTTGTTAGTTGCTTAATTAGGTATTAGTTAAGTTTTAGTTAAGTTTCTAGTCTTGCAAAACTAGAGAAACCCCTTCTATTTTACTATTTGTTTTAGATAATTTTAGTAGTTAGATTAATTTCCGTTCCCTGAGTTCGATACCCTGTTTGCTAATTTATACCATCAATTGACAGGTCCACTACCATTTGTGGTTCAAATTCTTAATTAAAAAGTAGGATAAAAGTAGTTAGT